AAGTCGAGTTTTGATTTCTTGACACTGGATATGAGGACACCTGCTGGGAACCGAGAATGACAGTAACTTCCGGGAATGAGGACAAGACGGTCCTTGAGCCGCACAAACTTGTTGGATGTATCAACAAATGTTGAGAGAAACTGAGATAAAAGTGTCTCTATGATCATAAGATTATATATACAGGTGAGGAATTAGCCAGGTGTGGTGGCGCACACCTTTAATCCCAGCACTCAAGGGGCAGAGACAGGCGGATGTCTGTGAGTTTGAGGCCAGCCTGGGCTACACTGTGATTTTTCAGGACAGCCAGGGATATGTTGTGAGATGCTGTCTCAAATAAAGTAGAATAAGTGAGGGACACTATTGATTGAGAAGAATGATTTTTTTTTCCCCAAAAGTTTCCAGTTCATTCCGTCACCCAGCATTTATTGTCTAACTCTCTGGCGCTCTCCCAGGTGCTATGGCTGCAGACAAACATAGTGCTGCCTAGAAGTGTGGGGGGGGGGGTTGTTAGCTGTCACCTGTGGAATCTAGTGTAGCCAGCAACGCTCTTAGTCTTGTTCTCTTCCCACTGTGCTCTGTACCACTGCAGCCACGCTAGACATTGCCGCTGAGGGGGGCACTGCCCTCCCCCTCCTCCTCCCCCTCCCCCTCCTCCTGTGTGTATGATGTGCGTATCTCTGAATATTGGTGCCATAGTGCTAGATGGAGTCCAGAGAACCTATCCCTGGTGTTGGTTCTGGTCTTTCATGAGTGAGACACTGTCTGATTTGCTTGTTTGTTTGTTTTGGTTTCTATTGTTGTTGTTCTTGCTGCTGTGCACACCAGGCTAGCTGGCCCACAAGTTTCTGAAAACCCTCCTTTCTCCATACCCCCATTTCCCTGCAGGGGCACTGGAATCCCAGATGCATGCTATTGTGCTTAGCTTTATATGGGTCCTGAGGATTCGAACTCAGGCCCTCACGCTTGCATAGCAGGTGTGTACTCACTGTGCCATCTCCCTAGCCCTCCTGTTCTCTCTTCCTTGGTGCTATTACATCAGCTCAGAATCTACTCACTATTGACAAATGTGTACTGAATGAACACTTTTCTTGTGCTAGACAGAGATGAGCAGAGATATGAGCCTAAGAGGAGCGCAATAGCTTCCCCTCTTTCCTTGTGGAAATAGATTCTCTTCAAACCCTGGTGAGGTCCATGGCCTGTGTGGCTTCCTGGGATTCTTTCTCCGGGGAAGACGGCTAAAATCGCTTTGCATCTTTGTTGTTGCTTTGTGTACTTCTCCCTCTAGATTAGGAGCGCCTCCATGGGGATCCTGTTTTACCCATTTCTACCTTCTCCACCAGTGGTTAGCAGGATGCTTAGCATAACATAGACACCAACATTAACGCAATAAACTGGAAAGCTGGGATACACGCTTGGTGTGGTGGCGCACACCTTGAGTCTCAGCACTCAGGAGGCAGAGGCAGGTGGGTCTGTGAGTTTGAGACCAGTGTAGTCTACAGAGCAAGTGACAGGCCAGTCTAAGCTACACAGTGAAACCCTGTGGTGGTAGTTTAAATGTCATTGGCCCCCACAAGCATATATGAAATGGCACTATTGGGAGGTGTGACTTCGTTGGAGTAGGTGTGGCTTTGTTGGAGTAGGTGTAGTTTCATTGGAGTAGGTGTGGCTTTGTTGGAGGAAGTGTGTCACTGTGGAAGTGGGCTTTGAGGTCTCACATATATCCAAGCCACACTCAGTGTCTCAGACCACTTCCTGTTGCCTGGGAGTCAAGATGCAGGACTCTGGCTCCTTCTCTAGCGCCATGTCTTCCTGGATGCCTCCATGATGATAAAAGGACTAAACTCTGAAAATGTAAACCACCCCATTAAATGTTTTTCCTTTCTAAGAGTTGGGGTGAGCATAGTGTCTCCTCACAACAGTAGAAACTCTAAGACACGTGTCTTTAAAAAAGAGAGGATAAAGAATAAAAAGAATGGGCTACAGGTGCCTAGATCATAGGTTACCTGGCAGATGTATATAACGGAGACACTCAAGTTTAATGTTAAGAGGGGACTACGGGTCTGGCCACCCAGAAGGAGACTTCGGAATACTCTTGGGAGTCACTTGTTTAAATGTGCTCCAGATTTGTTTATTTCTCATGTAAACGCCAATTGGGCTTCCAGTAGTTTGACTGCCAGGGCTCAGACCTAAGGCAAACATCCTGAGGTCATTCTCTGATGATGGAGGAACATCAAGGACCTTTAAGAATCTGCCCAAAGGTCAGCCGTCAGGAGTTCAGAGCTAGAATCCTGGCTGTTGGAACTGACCATGTCTTAGAAACCACAGGCTCCTTCCCACAGAGCAGTTGTGACTGCACCACGGTCACACAGCCATGAGAGCTGCTGGGGAGTGTCAGCTGAGTTCCCAGTCACTCTTCTCAAGGAAGTGAGGAACCAAGCCTTCTTCCCGAGCTGCCGCAGTGGCAGTGACTCATCCAGGTTTCTGATCCTCTACCTCCAGCTTCTGGATACGGACACCAGAGCTCTAAGAACCCTTCTGCAACCATTCGCCAATATTCATGTCAAAACTTAGTTTCTACCTCCATGGTATTCAAAGATAATGGAAGCTTTTTTAATAGGTGGGGCTGTAGTGGGAGGTGACCTGGTTATGACGTCGATGGGAAGGGACTCATACCAGTCTCATGGAGTGAGTTAGGCTGTTCAGGCGTGGGTTAGTTTCCATGAGAGCAGCTGTTCTAGAAAAGAGTCCTTCCCTGTCTCTTGCTCTCTGTCTCTGGGAGATCTCTTTGGTACACACTCCTGCCATGGGCTGCCGTCTACCATGCCATGGTGCAGTCAGAAGGACCAGCCTTACCTGAGAATGTACATGTTGATGAGGCTGCTGGATTTTGGAACTTCCAGCCCCCAGAACTGTGAGCTAAGTAAACCACTTTTCCTTACAAATTACCCAGCCTTAGAGATTTTGTTATAACATCAGAAAATGAATTAAGACACACTCAAAATAATCTTATTACATCTACAACTTATGATTCTTGGCACATTCCATAACAAGATATAGCAGCAGTAGTCTGTATTGTTTTTATCTTATAGCAAATATGAACTGTTGTTCATACTATGACGTTTATTTGTAACTGTTCATGTAGACATATTTTTTCAATTCTTTGGGATAAATACAAAGAATGAAGTTGTTGAGTCATTTAATAAGTGTATATTTAACCTTTTTTTTCTGAGACAGAGTCTTACTATGTAGCCCGGTCATATACCTTTTAGAAGAATTGTCTATGTAATCTGAATGCCCTGGATCTCGGTATGTAGATCAGGCTGGCCTCAAACTCACAGGGATCCTCCTGCCTTTGCTAGGATCAAAGGTGTACACACCCTCTCCTGGTCCCCAAACAAAAATTTAAAGTTGGCTGTAATATTTTCTGTTATGATTAGGCAGGTGTGTGGTCTCCAACCTTTCCACATTCTTACCAACGTATCTACTTTAAAATTGTAGCAAGTTACATTACATGGATTTGGTTGGCCTTTCCTCAATCAGTCATGATGTCGAGTGCTTTTTCATGAGCTTATTAGCCACTGGGGTGTGGGTGTGTGTACATTTTTTTTGAGAAACGACAGCTCAAATTCTTCGCTCCATTTTTTCATCCCTGAGATAGGGTATCACTACTCAGCTGTGGCTGGCCTGGGACTTGCTCTGCAGAGCAGGCTGGTCTTGAGCTAACAGTGAAGCAGTGGGGACCCGCTAAAGGCTGGGGTTAAAGCTGTGAGCGTCCACTCCCAGCAAAGCCCTTCGGCCATTCTTCTTTTTAAGGATTTATTTTAAATTCTCTCTCTGTGTGTCTTGTGGATATGAATGCAATCACAAGTCCTGTCCTCCCCTAGGTTGGTCCCCTGGGGGAAAATGAATGCAAATGTGGGGTTTGGAGTGGTAGCCATTGCTGTATTCATGAACCATGCATGTGTTATCGCATTTGTATTAGTTTACCAGTACCCATAGTGTCTGCTGGAGGTAGGTGTTGTCACCCCCTTCTTGTGTAGCTTGTTATCCCTTTAAGGAAGAAAGATTTGGAGAAGCTAAATCTTCTCCTGGCTCCAAGATTTAAAACAGAAATCTGATTTTAAAATGTTCTTAAAGCTGAGTGGTGGTGGTGGTGCACTCCCTTAATCCAGCACTCAGGAGGATCTCTTTGTAGCCTGGTCTACAGAGTGAGTTCCAGAATAGATTCCAAAACTATACAGAGAAACCTTGTCTCAAATAAATAAATAAATAAATAAATAAATACATTCAGAGTGTGTGTGTGTGTGTGTGTGTGTGCGCGCGCGCGTGTGCGTGCACTGCTCCAGAAGTCAGCAGAAGGCACTAGAGTTCCCACAGCTGTGAGTGAACTCCTGCTATCCTGAGTGCTGGGAACCCAACTCTGGTTCTCTGTGAAAGCAGGAAGCTCTCTTAACTGCTGAGTCATCTCTCCAGCTCCAAACACATGCTTGTTGCTCCACAGAAACCACAAGGAATAGATATTTGAAGCTCTGGAAGCCAATTCATGATTTAAAAAAAAAAAAAAATGGAAGGAAGACAACATCTCCAAAGTGAACGGAGGCAAAGGGGTTGAAAAGAGTTCCAGAATAGTTTCACAAATTACAAAAGGAACGGTAAAAAGAGCGTTTCCAGCTCACAGAGTCAAATGAAGTACACATTATGGAGGATGATCACGATGGTGATAGTTATGGTGATCTCTGACTACTTCATAGGGGGGCCCACACTACTGGTTACCGAGTGATTGACAGGTGAGGAAGTAGGACAAAGGATATAGATTGTTTTTTTCAGAAGTTTTAATAAAATAGAGGAAATAATTACACCTTTTACATAAATAAGAAGTCTAATATTTAATTAGCTATTAACTGATTCTTCTATATTGTTTGGTCTTACAATTGTGACATTTCCCTGGTTCTTTCAAACCAGTGTCCCTTCCCAAGTTGGACACACCTGGACACATTAAATGTGGTTACAGGCACCTCATTTTATTTATTTAGATGTTTGGTCTGCCTACAGTGAATTTGCCTTTGCAGGGCGGTCACAGATACCCCAAGTCTATCATCTGATTTCCTCAGATAGGCACCCCTTCTCAGACCACTTAAAACAAAGCATGCACACTCTCAAGTCCTTCGCAAACAGGTTGCTTTGTCTTCAAGCCCTCCTTATGTCCCTTCCTCAAACTCCCGGTCGGCAGATGTAGGAGAAAAGGGGAGTTGTTGCTCTAAACCTCCTGAGATGCGGTGGCCCACTGGGGGAGTCTGTTTGGCTTCATATGAGATGTGACCTTTCCTTACCAGCCCCCCATCAGTCCACCTCTTTCTCCGAGGGGACTGGACAGTGATCAGCAGCGCCGTCCACCTGTGCACAGGAAGATGCCCACGGCCACACCAGCAATTATGAAACAGCCCACCAGGATGCCCAGGACAAGCGAAGTGTAAGAGCGGCCTGTTTGGCTTCCTGCAGAACGGGCAGAGACTGAGTTTAAGAGAATATTCTCAAAACTTCAGAATTTGAGTTGAACCCCAAGACGTCCATACTTCAAAAGGAAGTCACCCAGTGACCTCAGCTATGCGCGTGGACCCTCTCCCAGTCTCCAACCCCCTCCTTACCCTGCACCAGGGATCTCCCATGTCCATCCCATCCACTTGCCTGGAAGTTGCCCCCTCCCCCAACACACAGGCAGGGCGGGCCCAACCCCCTCATACCTTTCATGTTTTGTGTGTTGATATGGTTCTCCACAAATCGCACACATGTGTCCTGAAGAAATTCCTGCAGTTCGTACCGAGTTCGATTGTAGGCATTAAGCTGCTTCAGGGTGAAGGTGATTGCTTCGGAGGACTCCTTGGAGCTTGCCACCCACAGGGCGGATTTTGGCTGGAAACTTACAAAGGAGTTCCCATTCACGGCCACATCGAAGAAGACGCGGGCTTCAGAGCTCTCCTCGGGCAGCTCGCAGCCCAAGGAGCAAGTGACTGTGAGAGGAACTATTGAGAGGGGGGAGGGTCAGTTGTGTGCTTGCTTGAGAAGGTTCCAGGCGCGGGGAATGTTCACCCGGGGCAAAGGGAACATGGAAGAAAGAAGGGATTGTGGGTTTGAGGACACAAGGAAAGTGCTCGGATTAGATTGTTGGAGCCTGTCTAAAGAGAAACCGGGAGCCACGAAGAAAAAGCGAGACCCCGAGAAAAAGGAACGGAGAAGGGAAGTGGTGGTTTCCCAGACAAGCCATTGAGTCTCTGAGAGGCTTTGGGGCTGTGAGGAAGCTGTGGGTAGAGACCATCAGCACCAACGACAAGAGGTGGCTGGAGGCTGAGGGCAAAGTGCTTCAGGCTGTATGAAGAAAAGTACAGCCCACTGTGAGAGGAGTTGGCGGCATCTTCAGTGAAACTCTGGGGGTCAGAGAGGATCAGAGACAGGGTCCCCCAGAAAGTCTGCTCTGATAGGTTACACAGGCCAGAGGAGAACCTGATAGACTGTGTCTGTCTGTCTGTCTACCTATATCTACCGGATAGAGGTTTCTTAGGGTTAGGACCTTTGCTCTTCTCCTGGCCCCACAGAACCATTTCCAAGGGTCGGGGCTCTTCAGAGAAGCCCCACCCAAAGACCACGCCCACCTCCCCTCCCATTCACAAACCCGGCTCCCTAGAACCTTAGCCTTACCACCCGCGCTCCACCACAAGCCCCCTCAGACCCTCTCACCCTCCAGGGCTCGCACCACCCTCTACCCAGCACCCCCACTCACAGACTACGCTGCTCTTGCGCTCGCGATACACCAGCTGCACCAAGGCGTGGAATTGAGACAGGTAGAGCTGCAGCCTCTTCTCTGTTTCAGCCCAGCTCTCGGGATCCTCCCAGGGTTGCAGCTGGAGGATGGTGACATTGTTGGCTGGGCCTTCCAGTGTGTGTGTCAGGAGTTCCCCCAGAGAGGCGTTGCCCTGATGTCTCACGTGTTCGGGGTCTCGGAAGTAGGAGATCTGGAGCATATGCAGGCCTTGGGAGCCTGGGGGAAGAGTCAGCACAGCGTCAGGACCGCCAGCGAGGGAAGGGGTGGCTGACAGCAGAGATAATAACCCCTTACCCAGAGGCCTGCCGCCCATTTCTCAATCCTATAAAGCGCTCTCCCACCTGCCCTCCTATTTGATGCTCACAATAACCTTGCTAGGAGAGGACGGGGATTATTATCTTCGCTTTACAGATGAGGAAACTGAGGGCCTCAGTTGGAGAAGGCATCCCTCTGTGCCTTTGCCTCCTCCCTCACATGTCCAGCCTACCACACTCTGGCCTATGAAAGAAATCCCAGTTCTAGTCCCAGGTCCCTCTCTCCTGGGCCTCTCATCTAGGCTCGGGTACCACAGAGACTAATTTCTCAATTTCATCCTTTTGTTTTGTTTTTCGAGACAGGATTTCTCTGGGTAGCCTGGGCTATCCTGGGGCTGGTTTTTTTTAGATCGAGCTAGCCTCCAGCTCAGGGATCCACCTGTCTCTGCCTCCCTGTGCTGGGATTAAAGCATGTATGTACCACCACACTGGGTTCAGTTTCCTCCCTTCTTACTGGATCTCTTCCTGACCCAAAGCCCTTTAAAGCCCTTTAGTGACATGCCCTACCTGTCCCAAATAATAATAGCTAATATCCATCAGGTGCTTGTTATACCCTGGGCGCTGTTTTATACACATCATTAACTTATGTATGCCTTCCTCCTAATGCCTTAACATGGTAGCTACTATTATTAACCCATGTGTTTGGGAATCTGAGGCTAAGATGGAGAAGCAAGCCAAGGTTTGACTACTGGCAGCTGCAGCCTCCCGGCCCCTGTCTGAAGTCATTGCTTCCTGCATAGAACACCCATCACCCGTCCACAGGACAGATCTTAAAGTCTGGTCCCAGTTTGGGATCCATGGCAAGGGAACTGGCCCCAGCTGCATTTTCTGGCCGATTTCAGTGTTGAGTTTTATTAAATGGCTTGGAGTTCCTCGTGCCGACTTTTGGCCACTGTGTGCAGAGCTTGTCAGGATAGCTCTGCTGCCCTTGTTCTGCCTGACAAATTTCTACCTGTGTTTCTTGTCGCAGCTCCATTGCCTTCTCCTTGCCTTTCCCAATGTTGCCGGCTTCCCTCTTTTTCACTTGGGTCTGGGCAGAGCGTGTTGCATCAGCATAGATTTCATGGGATTCCTAGTGTTAGTGCCCAAACACACGGGACTCCTCCTGGGTCTGGTCATCTCTGCCTTCGATAGCCCGAAAGGGGCCTGGGCAATATTGGTGGCAGAGGAATGGCTAAATGACTTTGTAAATCACCGCCACCCCTGTGTTGCATTTGAGAAGTTCTTTCTGTGTTTGCAAGTGTGGAGATGCTGGTATGAGTACCCCTAGCAGCCGTCCTGAACTGTTCTGTTTTCCCCTCTGGAAGATGAGTGTGATAGCATTGCTCACCGCGGTGGATAGATGAGTCGATGTGTGTATTGAATACAGTAAGCATTCTGAATACTGCTAGTTAGTAGCTCCTCCGAGGGGGAGACTGAAGCTATAGGGACAGGGGGAGGGGCCGGCGACTTTTTCTGTTTAAGAACTTCCAGCAGCCGGATTCTTCTGGCCCTGGACTCTTCTCCCTCCCCTGGCCCACCTCACCAGCTACACCCCCATGTGTAGCTTTCCTACCTGTCCATGTAACCCCCACCAAACTTGTCTCAATTCTCCGAGCGTTTTCTCTGCATCTCAGCTCCTCACTGATTCTCTTCCTATCGCTCCCAGACTGACACTCTGCTCCCCCACATCTTCTCACCTTCTCTACCAGTCGCTTCTACCAGCCTTCCCAAGTCCTGTCCAGTGAATTAACGACTTCCTCGCCTGCCTTTGAAACATAAAGCGATGCCCAGGACCCACCGTGCACGGTAGAGAGATCCTAGCAACTGTAGACATTCATGCAGCGCGCTTTGTTGTGCTACAATCTTGTCTAAGTTCTCAAATACACCAAATCCCCAGCACAAACCCAGGCAGGAGCTGCATCCCTAACTCACCATCTTCCTGGTCGCAAAAGGCGCAGCCAGGCAGCAATAGCAGCAGCAGGGACAGCAAGTTCGTCAACATCCTGGAGCAGAAGTTCTGTGTCCCACCTGGGCCGGGGCAGGCAGCAGATTAGGAAAGAGAAGAGAGGCTGTCCCGGAGGGGCGGGAGCTGAGCTGAGGATGGAAAGAGATCAGGGAATGCGTGGAGGAAGAAGGAGTCAAGCTTTTAAAGTGTTACTTCTATCTACCTCATTTCCTATTAGGGGGCCGGCTCATCTCGGCCCCTCCCAGCCTTGGGCCCTCCTGCCTGGACCTGCCTGTTCCCTTCTCCTCCGGTTACTTGCTTCCGAGGCTTGAGGACAAGCGGAAAAGGGGGAGAAGGGCTTGGTGAGAAGTCCGGCGGCCGCTGAGTCAGGGGGTGGGGCGTCTGCTTCGATGTTGCCAGACTCCAAGCATGTAGAGATCATTAGGTTACTGAAGGGGGAAACTGAGATCCGAAGAAATGTAGGGACTTGCCCAAAGTTTGTACGTCGTGATGACGACAGATTCAGGATTGGAATTTAACTTTCCAGGATAACTGCCTATATTTTTATCAGAAGTCTAAGTATGGGAATTACACAATCGGGAGGTTGGCTCTCAGAAATAGTCACAGTGAGTATATAGGAACTCATTGCTTGTAACAGAGATTTACGAATGATCCAGACAAACCTCAGCATCAAACTGGTCATAGTCATTTAGTGGACAATGACATCACAGTTAGCATGTTTGGGTTTTTTTATGAAATAGAACAGAATTAGAAATTTTGTGTATCATTCTTAGTAAGCAATATTTCCTGAAACAGTGTTCACTTGTATAAGGCATATTTGGTTTGTGTATTTTCTTCTTCTTTTTTCTAAAACAGAGTCTCACTATCTGTATCAAGTTGGTTTTGAACTCACAGAGATTCAGTTCTCCCTACCTCCTTGAGTGCTGGGATTAAAGACATGAGTCTCTGTGCCTGGCCTTTCATGCATTTTTTTAAGTTAGCATGCACAGTAGTGGGTTTCATTATGACATTTTCACACACACATATACATATATAAATATATATGAAAGTAAACTTTGTTCTTAGCTGCCTTCCTCCTCTAATGTCCTCCATCATCTCCTCGCCCTCCTCTGTTTGGTCCTCTTCCATTGCCCATTCCTTTCATCTCCTTTATAAGTTCAGTGCATGTGCACACACAGGCACACACGCACACACATATGTGCATACATGCACACACACACACTCCACATATGAGAGAAAACATGCGGGATTTGTCTTTCCAGATCTAGTGATTTCACTGAACAGAACGAATGACTTGCAATTCCATTTTCTTTCCTGTAAATATTACAATTTAATTTCCCCCTTTGGCTAAAGAGAATTCTATTTTACTTAGAAGCCACATTTTCTTTTTCTGTTCATGTGTTGATGGTGTGCATGTGGGTATGTTTCTGTGATGGGCTTTGGATAGCATTATGAAATGCAGATCTTATTTTGGGAAGCAAGAAGATGGACTTAAAAGTCAGTCCCCCAGATTAGGAAAGTCCCTATGGTAAAATACGACTCAGAAGTAAAAACAAAATCCAAAATCTTCTCTTCAGAATGCCCATTTAATTTTTATATTGCTTAGAATCACTTGAAGTTGTATTATTTATTTGTATGTTTGTTGTTTGAATTTCCCACCAAAATGCAAGCTCCTTGGGAAGAGAGGCTGTCCATCTTGCTCCATGCTGATCCAATGATTCATTTCACACAGAAACACCAGCTAAAGGAATGACAGAATGAGGTCGTCATGATACACATCTCTGGAAATAAGCTATAGACCACTCTATGCAGTTTAGAGCCATTTGTTCAGCTGTCAGCCACACAACAACCAAGCACACCTGTTTCTGTATGAGAGCAAATGAATCTGGAGGGATGTGTATTGGGTAGAACAATGGTTTATTTCCAGGGATGGGAGGGGAGGAAAGGGAGGAAGGAAGAGAAGGAGAGAGAGAGAGAGACAGAGAGAGAGAGAGAGAGAGAGAGAGAGAGAGAGAGAGAGAGGAGTGGGAAATCCTTGTGAAAAAGATTACCACTATTTTGAAAAGAGTTTTTTCCCATTATAAATATAATTGTTTTAAATGGTTATTTTTACATCTATAATGTGATCATATATTTCCTGCTTAATTAAAAACAAGAATTTTAAGTAATAGGTTAAGGTACATCCCTACACTAGAATAATCTGTGGTGTGGCCTCTCATGCATGTGGCGTTCCAGAACAGGTGACAAGGTGGAATCAATGAGACATTGATGGTGCAGTGGAAATTGCAAGCCAAATGCGTTTCCCATGTCATGTTTATTTTAAAACACATGGCTGTCCAGGTAATGCACTTCTAATTCTGTTCTATATACCCTAACTATGTGTCTGTCTGTCTGTTTGAATGCACGGGAGAATGTCTGGAGGCTGGCTGTGGCTCTAGGTTGCCTCTGGGGGACAAGATTGGGTCAAGGACCAGTAGAAGGATTTTAACTTTGCGTGTTAAATCCTTGTTGGTGTCACAGTGGAGTCCAGGACAAACCATGCTGCATACAGGCTCCTGTTCTCTGAACCCAGTGCTGTGGGCTCCCATGCTCTCCTCTCCATTGATGCAGATTCCCCAGCTCGTCATCTTCCTCAGGCGGAAGAACAGGGGCTTCCAAGTGGAATGACTTAAGCTGTGGCCAATTACATTGTCATGAATTTTAAAAAATGATCATAAACTGTCTTGTATTTGAAGAACTATTACTTCATGTCCATAGAATTATATTCTAAACACATCTATCCCTACCTCCTAGAAGAGATATAACAAATGTAACTAAAACAACATTCACTTGTAGCTCTCTCCCCTGTGTTGATCCCTGAATTAACAACATTGATTGAAAATGAAAATTCATTATTTTTCCATTTCCTTACATTTCTGCATACTTATGCCATGCACGCTTGTTAAACAATACAGTGACATCTTCCGCTTTGTGGAAACGACACTGGCATGCACTAGTCCTCTGCAACCTGTGCCTCTCGCTTGTATAAAGGTACAGTCATTGTTACAGCCTTAATACATTCCATTTTTAGACATTCCATTTTTGTGGTTGCTCACATATGTATGTGTTTCTCTGTGCACACATGCATATATGTGTGGAGGCCAGATGTTTTCCTTAACTGCTCTCTACTCTCTATCTTATTCTCTTTCCTTTTAATGTGTATGTATGTGTGCATATGTGCATTCATGTTCACACACATGTAGACACAAGAGTGTGAAAGGGAGCACGCGTGTACACGTATGCAGACACACAAGACTGACGTCAGGGATCTACTTTGATCACCCTTCCACCTTATTCTTTGAGTCAGGGTCACTCAGTCACAGAGAACTTGAGGCCAGTGAGCTGGCTCAGCGTGTTAGCACCCTTGCCAGGAGCCTGACCACCTGAGTTTGCTCCCAGGACCCACGTGGTGAAAGGCGGGACCTGACTTTGGCGTGCATGAGCCTCCTCGCCACTAAATGTACTGAATTTTTTTTTGGACCCAGAACTTGAATAAAGCTAGTCTCACTAGCCAGCTTGCTCTGGGGTCACTGTCTCTGCCTTTAGAGGCTGGAGTTACAGGCGGGCCACGATGTCCACCTCCATTTACCTGGGTTCCGGGCTTCTGCATTTTAACCGCTGAGCCATTTCCCCAGCCTTTCATCTTGTTTTCTGAACCCGGAGCTTACTGATTGGCAGGTCAGCAAGCCCATGATGCCTCCTGCCTCTGTCTCCAGTGGTGGGATGTCAGGTGCACCCTGTTAGGCTGGGCTGTTTATGTGGGAGCTGGAGACCGGACTCAGGTCCCCATGATTGAAAGGCAGGGAGGGTTTTGACTGACCCATCTCCCCGTCCTGACATCTATGTTTATTGCGTGTCATGAAAGGTTCTAGCATGTACATTCATGTTCGTGATCCCTCGTGTCTCGATGGGAGAGCTTGAGTAACTGCGCACCTGGGCGTGGACTTGCTGAGTCACACGGTAAGTGGTTTTCAATTTGGGTAGATACTGCCAAAATCTTTTACAAAGATGTGTGCTAATTTGCATTCCCAGCAGTGTGGATTCCCTGCTTCACATCCGTGCCAGCCCTTGGTAGCACCAGGTGGGTGGTGTAAAACGGCGATTCAGTTGGTTTGACTTTACGTTTGTTTCGCTGATTCCTAATGAGCTCGCGAGTCTCTTTGCTTTACTTTTCGTCCTCTGAGGGCTGGAACAGTGTTTTGAGAAGGAAGGAAATGAACTTCACACCTCAACCACTATCCTGATGCGGGATGTCAGCGGGGAGGGGATGGAGGCCCGGTTCCACATCGTCACCCTCCGCAGCCTGGGTTTCCCTAGATTTTAGAGCTCTTGACTTGGGCTAAAACAGGCTTCGTGGTTTTGACACTGCAAAAAATTTCAGGACAGGCAGGTGTGTGATGAAATGGAGATTTTATGCAATGGGTAGGCTTAAGTGAGAGGATCATGAAAAAGAGAGGGGCTCAGAAGAAAGTAAGGCACAGCCCAGAAAAGAGGCACAAGCTTCTCCGAGAGCAGCAGAAAGGAAAGTATACGCGCATGGCTCTGGACTCCTATTAGGAGATTCACAGTTCATCTGTCTCAGTGTTAACTGTGTACACTTGGAGGCTCTTTCAAGTTACATCTCGAAAAATTGGTAAGTGAGATGGCTCAGCTAGTAGAGGTCCTTTCACACAAGCCTCCTGGCCTGAGTTAGAACACAGAACACAGAACACACACACACACACACACACACACACACACGCACGCACACACGCGCGCACGCGCGCGCGCGCACACACACACGTGTGCGCACACACATACACACATACGTGCACACACGCACGTGCACCACACGCACACACGCTAGTAAATAAATAATTTAAAGTTGCTGAAGACTCTTCCCTCCTCTCTCTTTTTCTCTCTCTTAAACATTTTATTTATTATTTCATGTGTATGAATGTTTTGCCTTCCTGTATCTATATATGCTGTGTGTTTGGCCAGTGCCTGTGGAGGCCAGGAGAGGGCACTGGATCCCCTGGAACTGTAGTTAAGAAAGGTCATAAGTCACCCTGTAGGTTCTGGGAATCAAACCCAGGTCCCCTGGAAAAACAGTCAGTAACCAGAGTCATCTCTCCAACCCCTGCCACGCCGCCCGCTTTTGTAAGTGAGATTACGTTGGCTCTGCAGTGCTACTGACGGAATTAGAATCTGATAAGGTAAAGCCAGGAGCCACGAGTGTTGCGCAAGGCGTTTAGTACTTGTCCTTCCCAGAAAACGGTTTCTGGGGACAGTCCTAGGAAATC